TCAATGTATCTAAAGTACAGGTCTCACATCAAGGTCTCCTGCTGGTCTGCAACTCCACTGGCCGCAGCGGTGGTAATTGCTGCTAGCTGCAGACAAGGGGCTGAATGGCTGTTGGTAGATTAGACAAATTATCAAAATCTTTCAGGGTGGAGGCTTACGGCAGCATTCAAATAACCCATAAACATTAATATCATAGATTTCTGAGCACTTGAAGAGTAAAATTGAGGAAATATTCAGGAAAAAACCTTCCCTGCTTAGACTAAGCTACAGTCAAGCTCTAGGTATGACAGTGAGCTCTGAGGAATAACTCTGGGCTTTAGAAAGAAATGCAATATTGAGTTAGAAGGGAAAAAAAAAGAGATAATTGCTGGATCTTGATGCACAGAAAGTCTGTGCATCACTCAAATTTTCTTTGACTAAATTATGTTTACTCATAGAAGCATTGATGGTGATTAGCAGCTGGCTAAATCAGATCTTGCTCTCATACTTGCTTAGGAAAGCCTCATTATAGAAGGAATTTAACTTCACTAGGGTAAAATTGATCTTCACCTCTTCATAAAACAGGCACAAGTTTCTTTGAAGTTGCATTGTAGGAGAGCTGCTTTGCTTTAAGTCAAATATTTTCAGAAATGGTCTACTGCAAAATTTTAAGTGGCTTTGTATTGGTTTAGAAAGTATACACATACACTCAGGGTTTTTTGTTTGGTTGTTTTTTTCTTTGTTTGTTTTTTTTCAAAAAAATTTCCCTTAATACTATTCTCCAGCAAAATGAGCTGGACTGAACTAAATCAATAGGCATGTCAAAACACAACTTTACAATCTCTAAAAGTTTGTGTTTATAAAAAGCTAACTCTGCCAAGAGGTGACATTTTCTTACATAGACATGAGCCACAGGATTTTATGTACCCTCACCAAACATTATGTTTGGTTGGGGGTATATGCCCTTATCTGATAGGTGAAAACAACAACAACATCATCTAAACGAGATGTGAAATTACAAGAGCAGGTAAAGATCATGCATTTCTTTCCCAAAACAAAATGACCTTGCCAGCCTTTTGGAACAAGGAAAAGGCTGGGGTTTATACAACAAATTGGTACGTACGATTTAAAGAGACCGTCGAAGGGAAGCATCCAAGTCAGTGTAATGCATTTCCATCCCAAGAAAGCCAATGCTGTGCCATATAATAGGCAGAAGTGACAAGTACAACTATCCTACAGTTCAGAAACAGCATTCCAGTTGTGTGGTGACTGGAAACTGAGCTCAAAGATCTATGGCCAGCAACCTTCTTACACAGCATTCAAGAGAGTGCTGCACAATTTATAGAAGAAAAAAGAGGTGATTCCTATTAGAATCAGAACTCTAAGAAGCCTGGGTAAACTGTTAGAAACAGCAGAAAGAAATCTTTTATATAGTCACACGTATGTGAAAGTCATAAATTGTAAACTTAATAGCTTAAGATTCATTAAATATTCAACAAAATGATCAAGTGTTCAAAATGTCCCTATCAGCCAGTGAAATATACAGCATCTGTTCACCATTTACAAGGATTATCTATTTTTTCAGCAAAAATCATTAGCCCTTCAAAGCAATTCTGCTGAAAGGGAGGACAAAAAACAAGAAAACTGAAATGTTAGCCTTTTGGTTGTTTGGAAATCATAACCATGCTGACTATAAAGTCTGTTGGCATTTTACAGACAACTGGAATGACTGTACTATACATTGTATCACCTTTAAGAGTATCTTTCTCAACACAGAGTTATGACTAACAGGATGTTTATACTACTTACCTCAAGTGAGATCAAAATATTCCTAACATGACTGTAAACATTTTGAAGAATAAGTCATCACAGAATCGCATCCTTGTGTCAGTGTCAGAGGAAAGGGCTGGTGTAATTGAGCGGTGAAACACAGCATCTTCTTGTTCAGAGGGAATAGTGGGCAAATGGCGTGGATTTCTTTTTCTCCGTTTCATTTTCTCAGTTTATTCAGAAAGGCAATTTATTTTGTTTGCTGCTAAAACAGAGAGCTCATTCTCTCTTTGCTTGTCTCTCTTTTCTCCTGATTAGAATCCTGGATGTAGGACTTGGGTGTAATTTCCCATTTTATTTTTAAACATAAACAAATTAGTAGGCTTTTTGAATTCATTCAGTTTCGAAAATGCATTAGTCCAGTGATTTATCAAAGACAGTATTTTTGCTTTCTGCAATGGTCTAGAACAAGTGATTCAGCTAATGGGAGGGAAATACTATTTATGTACCATGCCAGTACTAGCTTGCAGCGAAACAAGAGCAGGAACTTTTTAGTGGGGGAAAAAAAAAACCACCTTAATTTTTGTCTTTCAGGTAGCTACACACACCCATCAGACTTGCATTCATGGCATTCAACCCACCTGGGACAGACAGAGTTGCAATAGCTCATGTTTGTACTTTGATGTATTAAGCTGGCCACAGGCGAGAGTTAGGTGAGGAGAACCTGGTTACCTGCAATCCCGTTCCTCTGAAGGTATCCATGCCACAGCCTGCTCATTCCTGAAGCTCATCGTAGTCTAGCACTGACAGACCTCCCTAAGCTAGACAGTATTATCCTTTAAGCTCATTAATCGTAAGCTGCAGCATCACCAGGCCCTGCTGTCCAAAGTGGTTACAAATACTGCCCACTCCTCACTCTGTTTCTGCTATTGGTATTAAAAGCAAACAAAGGTTCCTAGAAGCATGACTCCCTTTTCTTTGCTTCAAGCTGTTTTGTACCTTTTATGCTTGTACCTTTCCAATCAGTCTATGCACCTTAAGCTACTGTGTCTTTACCTATGGATTAAAAATAAGAAAGATACTTGCATAATGATGTCACCACACTTTTCTGATTAATTCCCCATTCTAAAAATGTAAGAACCTTCTCTCCCTTCCCTCCTCTTCCGCAAAACTGAATAGGAAAAAAGTGTTAGGGACAACTTACATCATCATTATAAAAATGGTAATAGAAGACAGAGAGAGACTTTGAGCAAGGCTTGAAATAAAATGACACAAATTGGATCAAGTTTATGTGTCTTGTTATTCTATTGGCAGCCATTTAATTAGACGACAACTAACCCCATACCTAGGAAGTTAGAAACTCTGCTTGAAAAGATAGTTGCACTTCACCGAATTATGAAGCCACCAGCATACAACCTGCACTCATTAGTTGTGCAGAGCATCTGAAATCAAATTTTTTGCAACACTAAAAATCCCATGCTGAAGATTCAGGCTTTCCAGACCTACATCTGTATTTTGTAGTAATAGACCTTGTTCTAGGAAGATGTAAAATGTCAAGATTTCATAAGCTTCTCATATCTATTTTAGCTGAAGACGACAAGATACACAGCGTGCAGCAGTTCCTTTCCTGACTACTAACTTCTTGAAATAAAAGTCTGCTATAGAGAGTTAACACAACGAAGGGGGAAGCAATATGCAAAAAGAAGAAATTCCACTCCCTGAAATATAAGCACTTTCAGGGGCTCATCACACAAATAAAAATATTTTGAAGAGGATGCGGTCATGATCTTAAA